AAGGGCAGGCAAAGGAGACAAACGGCGATGGCTGGGTTTGCAGCAGTTTGTTATGCAGTTTGGAGAGCCCGTAACCTTAAAATTAAAGAAAACCGAGATGTTTCCCCGGGAGAATGTAGTGAATGGATTAGGGAACATGTACGCATTTATATAAATGCTAGGTTAAAGAAACTTTGGTTGAAGTAGTTTGGCTAGAATTGGGTGATAACTTGTATCCTTCTCGTTGAAGTGGTGTATAAAGTGATGTGCTTTTGTTCAAAAAAACAAACTGAAAACACAAAAAAATTACAAAAAAGGAAAAACAAAATAAGAGGAATACTATATAAAACAAAAATTACAAACCAGTTTTCTATAAGGCGGATAGAAGATATTTTTATTTAAAGCTTGTTAAAAATTAAATATAATAATGTATGTTACATATTAAAAATTCATTGTAGTAATAATTTTGTGTAATTGAATACTCTAAATTAAATAAATAAAATCAAATTTAAAAACAATAAAAATCACACTTATTCGATCCGGTCTCAGCCCAGTCCAGTTTTTACCGATACGGTCCCAAGTCTATCCTTATCTTAATTGGTTCGATCCTCAATTCTTAAAATGTCACTTATTCAAATCCGAACTGTGTCAGGAATTGATACGATGAACACCCCTACGTGCCAATTAAACCATTTATTCAAATCACATTAGAGTCGCCAATTAAACCAGTAAAGCAATCCGGTCCAATCCAAATAAAAAGGAATAACTCGGGTTTATGCCGATCGGTGTTCTCTGGCCGGTCCGGGTGTAACAGCTTTACTGAAAACGATGACCAGCTTTACTTTGTGACGGACTTATAAAAATCCTGAAACTGCATCGCTTTCGTTTTCCCAATTTGGCCTGTTTCCCGCTCCGCCGGAGCTTCTTCTTGCAACTGTAACCGTCTATTTTGGGAAGATTCGCGCGTCCGGCGTCGCTGACGGCGAGGAATTCGCCCGCCTTTCTGCTTCGGCACCGGCGGCCGTTTTGCGTGCTGCTGCCGCTTCTCCGCTAATCTCGTCAGATCGCGTCTCCGGCCTCCTCCTTTCTCCGGCGAGTAGTTCGCCTACTTCGAGGTATTTCCCAATTTTCTGTATATCTTTCGCATTGGGAGTATTCTATACAGTATTTTATGATTTAAAATGAAATTAATTAAATCTCAAGTCTCATCATAAAGAGTTATGAAATCAATTTGAATTTCATTCAATTGTCTTCTTGTGTTGATGAGGAACTACAATGCGATAAGGATGAGTTATGATATTATCCTTCAGTCGCAGAAGGATGTTAAGGATGAGCATATAAGATTTAAAATAGCTTAGCATCTTAGAGAAGTTGCTTTAGTTCTTTTAGTTCTTGTAGATGATGGATGAAGTTGCTTTAAGATCTTAGAGAAGAAGCTCTAGATCTGTCTCACCATGAAGGTGTCAAGTCTTGTACTAAAACCCTTATTCGCAAAGCCATTGCCTCATGGGGTTTTCAAGACACACATTTCAATTGCATTGGTTAATTCGGAATGGGAAAGTATGGAGGAAGTTTATGTCAAGATTCTTGATTACTAGGAATTGTGAATGTGTCCTCGGTCTTGTGATATACTCCATCCGTCTCGAAAATAAACTTCACACTTTCCTTTTTGGTTGTCCCAAAATAAACTTAACACTTCTCTCATTTTCTTTTAAGGAATGGAATGTGTGGTTGATAATCTTTCTCATCCTAAACAAATTTCAATCGCACACTTCTCATTTTTCACTTCTCAGTACTTTTCTTAGACTTCATGAAGTCAAACACTAAAGTTTATTTTGAGATGGATCGAGTATATCTCTTTTTTTCCATGTGAAATCGAAGGTAAGGGTATCTTTAAATAATCAGATCAAGAGTACAACTTGGAGGGGAGTCAATCCAACAAAGAGGACCAGATTGTTAGAGAACACCCTTGGCTAGAACATAAGCTAGTTGTTCAATCTTCTTCAAATCACTCATTTGAAAACTTCAAGCCTTCATTTACGACAATATTTCTTTGCAAGCAAGATCCTCGAGATCTTGAATGCAGTGTAGAGGTCCGGTGATGTAATCTACATCGGTTTCGTGTGTCCAATCTACCTCTGTTTTTCAAAAAAGCTTCTGTGGCTCACTGAATTTCATGCATGTTATACTTTTCAAAATGCTTAATACTTCATTTCTAGACAGATGTGAATTGAAAATGGGAATGATGAGTTTCATTTAGTTCTCCCTTCCTTGGTTTCAATAAATTATTGAAATGGGAATGGTGTCTAAATAAAAGTCCAGATGAAGATGTGTGAGCCACATCTGTTTTTTAAAAAGGGTTTTACACAGAGACTAAAAAGAAAACGACTCAAATTTACCCGGATGATTTTTTATTTGAAGAAGCAAACTAAAACAAAACACTGTATTTGTGGGGGACTGAAAACTGTGTTCAGCCTAAATCTTAAACGTAGTTGGAATTTGATAGGGTATGGCACACCTGGATTCCATAGATTTAGATATGGAACAATCTTCAGCCAACACTGTAGCCAGGAAGCCTCGAATATTACTTGCCGCTAGTGGAAGTGTTGCTGCTATCAAGTTTTCAAATCTATGCCATTGCTTTTCTGAATGGGCAGAAGTTAAAGCTGTCGCTACGAAGTCGTCTCTGCACTTCATAGACAAACCTTCTCTTCCAAAGAATGTTGCTCTATACACTGATGAGGACGAATGGTCTGGATGGCAGAGGATTGGTGATAGTGTGCTACACATTGAGCTTCGCCGGTGGGCTGATATCATGGTTATTGCTCCTTTGTCAGCAAACACACTTGCCAAGGTAATATTAAGGTTCCACTTAAATTTTGTTAATACTTGTAAATTTCCTTCATGAATCTCATTGAATTCCAGTGGAAGCAAGTCAAGTAACTTGAGCCTTTGAAAAAGAAATTCCTGAAATAGTTTTATGTTTTTCTATTTTTGGGGGTTACACATTTACTCCGTGTGCCGCCCCAAAAAAGAGTCATGTTTCATTGATATACAACTTTTTTTTGTTGAAAAATTCATCAAGTTTCATACATACTAGCTTCTTTTGATGAAACATGATTTTTTTCTTGCAACAAAAATATTATCCTCAACAACTTATTTCCCGCAACAAAGTGCGGCCCAAGCTATATTCTCTTCTGATGTCGCGTGATTTTTGTGTAACAATAAAGATGGGTTAAGAAGTGACATTTTCATCTGCATTATGTTGCAGATTGCTGGTGGATTGTGTGATAACCTGTTGACATGCATAGTGCGGGCGTGGGACTACAGCAAACCGCTTTTTGTTGCGCCAGCCATGAACACATTCATGTGGACCAATCCATTCACCGAACGACATCTCATGGCACTTGATGACTTTGGCATTTCTCTCATCCCTCCGGTGTCAAAGAGGCTCGCGTGTGGAGATTATGGGAACGGAGCCATGGCCGAACCCTCTCTCATCTTCACCACGGTAAGGCTCTTGTTTGAGTCCCGCCTACACGCTGGCAGTAGCTCTGATTGAACACAACTTATCGTGCGCGTGTTCTTAGTGGGAATTCATGCAAATGTTGTGAAAAGGCTGTGTGATCTTCAAATCTTTCATTTGATACTCCAAGCAATTTGATGTGGGTTTATTGTATAACCAATGACAAGTGTGTAGTGGCATGGAATTAGCACATTGCAGACTTTAATGTGAAGTATTCTTGTGTGATAATAGTCCAATCCCACTTGAAAACCCATCCCCTCTTCCCTTTTTATCTTTACAAAAAGCACAAGTATAAATTCTGACAAGTGGCAAAAAAAGTGATGTTTGTGCACCAAAAGTTCAATAAAATAGATATGTGAAAGTGTGAATGACTCAATAGTTGTGGAATTAAATTTGATGATAATAAGAAAAAGGTAAGGACCACATTGAAGAAGTAAAATAATGTACTAAGTACGTAGTATAACTTATTCTTAACTTGGCACATTGGTTTGCTTTGGACATACTCTGCTCCGCGTTAAGGATATACGGAGTAATATGAAATACTCCGTATGTCGAGATTCTAGTGCACAATTGTAACAAGAATATTATACATTCGTTGTAACTTAAGTAATGTTCAATTCAACTTATTCTTATTACTTTTTCTTATCAGAATCAGTTCCGATCAGATCAAACAAGATCATATGAGAAATTGTTTTATGTCTTTAAATATAACTACATCCAGCCCAAATCAGAATGTATTCTAATCGGATCAGAACCATTCGATTTCTAGTTAGTTAGCATTTAAGTTTTATTTAGTGTGAATAATTGTTGGCATAACGAACACTCATTAATGTTTATTAAACACACAGCTTTTATTTAGTTGGCATTTTGTCTATCTCGACGAGGTCCTTATGTGTATTTGAGTCCTGTGGTTTTGCTAATCATATTATTCCCTCCGTCCCGGAGTATTCGTCCAGTTTTAACTTTTGGAACTGTTCATGTAAGCACTTTGACTCATCAAATTCTCTCAATGTATAAGCCTAAATATAGTCATGTGTGATCTTGTTTGATTTGTCTTAACATATAGATTATTAATATATAATTTCTATAATTTTTTAATATACAAATTACAAGATAAAATGGATTAAAAAAATGTATTGGATGATGTGTAAAAATGAAAGTGGACAAATATTCTGGGACGGTGGTAGTATATGTCTACTTGATGTATCCATTTTGAAAAACTTCACGCTTTCACTTTTTGTCCATCTAAAAAAACTTCATTTTTTAAAATAAGAGTCACACAACTACTTTTCCTTCATTTAAACAAATTTTAACCATAAATTTTTCACTTTCAAGCACATCTTTTTAACCTACGTCAAAAATCAAACATAGATTTTTTTATGGGAGATAGAGAGAGAGAGAGAGCTTACAACTAAGCTCTACCAACAAGAGTTTCAAGTAAAACATCATTAGAAGATTTGGAACCTCCAAACCCAAAACTATAACTACTTTTGATAAGACACTCCTCCATATATTCTAACATGGACAAAGTTAATAGAGTACTTCATACGTTGTTAACACGAACTGTTAACAGTGAAGGAAAATTATGTAGAATAACAGAAAAGGTAAAGTAGAGCCCACTATTGTAAGTTTAAAGAGGAAAAAAGGGGAAGAAAAAAAAGAAAAAAAATGCACTCCATTTTCCCTATGTATATAAAACAAAACAAAAAAAGAAGTAAAAGACCTTTTTAGTGCTTGGATGCATTGGTCACCACCACCACCACCACGTCCGAGTTACAAATGGGACACGCCTGTTAGAGAGAGTTACAAAACGCTTATTATTTACCAATAAGGAAAAGCATATCTGTGAACAATATGCAATCATGGAGTATAATTGTAAGTAAAATTATTGAATTTGTAAGAGATTTGATGATAGTTATGTAATCTTGGAGAGCATTTGTGCAATTGAGTGATACAAATTATTTTTGGGTTCAGTTGAGTTACTTTGTTGATGCTGAGCCATCTGCTGCCGCAAGATTTGTGATAGGCGTGTTTGCATGGAAGAGTGATTTGTCTATCGCCTCTCTTGTATTCCATCTGGCATATCACACACCTGCAGACGCAACCAAACAAGGGATTAAAGAATCACAGCTAAAACCAATGAACTAAATATGCCAGCATGAAAGATCTTACCTTTCATTTCTTGACTTCTTCCTAAAGAATTGGCCAAACTTGAGCTTAAACTTGGAGACGGGAAGCAAAGAGATTTGGTCATAAGAAAGTCCTCGGCTTTGAGTTCCGACGGCCTCACCCAATTCAAGCAATTCCTACAAGTCAATCCCAAGATGATTAAAAAATCGATCATATTACAAGTTCACATGCATGGGAAAATCAATTTAGATGGCAGACCTCATAAGTCATATTGTCGGGATCGACATTGTCTTGCCAAACGACCTGCAGTAACTCGTAAGAGGATGAATTTAACAAACCAGTTCTAGCAAACCTGCATCTCGGATTGTACATTTTGGATATACCAAAGATAGAAGAGCTGAACAGCATCAAAAAAGATTCTTCATACCTCATTGACATGAGTACTATGATGACCTCGTGGACCTGCTAGATTGGATGGGGAAATCTTTAGAGAAGGTATCATAAAATCCACATTTTTCTAAGGGTCAAAAAGTACAAGGATGGAAACCATGTAGGAAATTTTAAGCTAGAGAACATGTGGTAGAGAATAAATAATTGACTAAAACTCAATAAATGTATTCCACGCAGGGTATATGTATGTTGGTACTCATTCATTTATTGTTTTCTACTCCATATCATATAAAAATTTAGAGGAAAGAAAACTAATCATAAAGTCATAATTTGTTTTCCTCGTGTTTCCAAAGTAAAAGCAAACATAAGAAAATAACAGAACAGTTCCCCCCTTTTTCCCTAGAAGTTTCAGGATCCAAACAAGCCCAAAATATTCACAAGGAAAAAGTAACAAGTTACAAGAAATGAGGAAAATAGAACTTACATTCCATGGAATCTGCATTCGTATTTTCCTGATGATGCATATCTGCCGGTGCTGCAGTCTCAGTTTCAGCAACTCTTGACGAAGCATTCTCTAAATGGCTATCTTGTCCCTCATTTCCAGATATTTGATTATTCAAAACATGGGCATTGCCATAATCATGATAATAACAAGAATTCTCAGTTTCAGAGAATCCAAATTTGTATTGATTGGTATAAACAGCTGGGTAAACAGTTTCCTGAAAGAGGCAGAAGCAATGGCAGATGCATATTAGACAGTCCTTCCCGATCTTAAACTCTCCATGAGAAGAACACTCCAATCATAAGTGATAATACTCCGTAATAGAAAGATGTTGCAGTAAGAGCTACTTAGTTTAAGTATAAGTATTAAAGTGTGAGGTGAACTAATTAAAGATGGCAACAGATCAAAGCCTGTGCAACAATGGTTTGTCGGGCAACCACCCATCATAGGGGCAACCGGGCAATGCCTTTGCCCCTAGCCTGGTTTAGATTGAAGAGGTGTGTTGAGTATGACACATTGATTGTCTACTAGTAGGAAGAAAAATGAGACCAGTGATGTCATACTCGTGTTAACATTTTATTCCATTTATATCCGTTTCAGTTTCCCGTTAAAATTTGTTTTACTTTTATATCGAGCATTATATTTACTCCAGATTCCTGACGTCTCGCTTAAAATTAAGCCGAAAAGACAATGCCTTAAATGGATTCCAATTTCCAACCATATGTTCCCGATTGATCGATCGTTCTAATCACACCACATGGCCAAGTGATGAAAAACACAAAGGGCGCAAAAATGGTCGGCACTTGAAATCTCTAGTACAGTGGCGCACTTGTATGGAGTAATATAACCAAAGGAATAGATCACTCACCGGAGCATATGTAGTATCATCAGCAAAGATATAGTTCATGTGGTCATATGCCATGGCTCCAAAGAAATCCATGAAACTTCCTATTGAACTGTACGGCATTGTAGAGCTCCGGAATTCAAATCCCTCGTGAGGGCTCCCGCTCATCTTGAGTTGAAAAGATGAAAGATCAGATTGCCTCTGCAAAATATAAATTCTTGTAACCCTATAGTATTAAAAGAGAAATGATTATTATAATGGACAAGTAGCTATAACAAAACATTTAAATAAAAGTTGTATGATTAGTTCCCCTCTCTATATATTGATCCAACAACACAAAATTCAAACTAACACTAACCAAACAAAATGTTTAGGTAATCAAATTACTAAGAACACACCTAATTCTCAAATTTCATCAATACATGCCCGGCTCCGTGAATCCAAAACCTGTCACAGATCAAAAGCTTAAACAAAATCTACAGCAACAAATCATAAAACAAAAAAACACCGAAGAACGAATTCCATCTTGTTTCCTCATACTAATTTCGAAAACGAAAAAGATGAAACAGAAACGCGCTACAAGGTAGAATCTTTTGACGATTTCGCGAAGAACCAGGCGGATCAAATGTGAAAAAACAGTGCCGCATTTACCGGAAATCGGTGAATTAACCTCGATTTCGAGAATTCCAGAAGGAAAAAACGACAGGAGAAGGAATAGCAGCTAAGCAGAGACAAATCGAATCGCGAATCGCGTTGATCGATCTAAGAAAAAAAAACATGAAATCAAAAGCATTCAAAGAAGGGGGGGAAAAAGGCGATTCTCGTACAGATTAAAGAGCCGACATGAATTGCTTTTGTGAACGCCCGCCGCAGACCGCTGTCTTCTTCTTCTTCTTCTTCTTTCAGCTCACGGTGTTTGGCATATCAGTCTAGAGAGAGAGAGAGAGAGAAAGAGAGACGTGAAGGAGTCTCGAATATGGCGGATCAGCTCAGCTTGGAGAAGACACTTCTTCTCCAAATCCAAATCCAGTTATAGATGTGACGACGCAGTAGTTTACTTAACAACTCCTTCCGTTCCGCATTTTTGTTCGGTGGTTTACTTGTTCCATTTTTACTCGTGTTTATGGAGTTATTAACCACTCCCTCCTTTCATACATTCGTATGTACTATGTTTTCTATATATTTGTACTAGTATTTTGGCCCGTGCGACGCACGGGGTTAAACAAAATTTTTGTCGATTTCGATTTTTTTCAGTGTAATATATTCTCCGGAATCAAGTAAATATATTTCTAACACAATTTTTAATCAATGCACAACGACAACATTAGAATAAATCATATTTGAGGAAATGAAAGTGTACTCGAAAAAACCTTATTTAATTCCAATTTTTTGAAAGACTTTAGGGTGCACAACATTTTTGGTATGGTTGTAAATGTTTCCATTGTTATCTAGAACCAATATTTTTAATCATGTCTTTGCCTTCATTCGTGAAAAAGTAACATATAGCTAACCATGACTAAATACTAAATTGGTTAAAAATAATACAACAAAAGACAATGTTTGATCTTAACTTTTGTTAATAGTCATAGTAAAATATAAAACTATTGAGAATTATTTTCTCTAGAATTTCTTAGGTAGTCTTGAATCAGATGATACCAAATTCATTCGGGGTATGAAAATCTTTTTCTCAATTGAATTCATGAAACCTCAATTGCAGTGATAATGTTCTTTCTCAACTTCTAAACGATTAATCTTCTATCATTACACAATCCAGATATTTAGTCAATGTTCTTCAATGATATAGTCAGTACCCCCTTTTTAAAAACTATTTTGTGGTTTAGGATCCCCGAATATTTGATTTAATTAAAAAAACTAAAGTGTTATCCAATTGTCTTCAACAACTACTTTTAAATCAGCTTTGCATAAGGGATATGAAAAATTCATTACCATTCAACAAACTTGAGTGCAGGTTCTAATAGTGCACTATCCTTAAAAAAATTCATGTTCTCTAATAGGTTCGGATAAGTGAAATCCACCATAACTCTTGAGTGGATAACTTATTTCAAGAATCAAGAATGCAGAAGGATTTAATTTCAATGTCAGCAGTTCCATCGATCACTTGTCTAAGTTTTCCATCTTTGACTTTGATATCCAATCAGAAAAAGCTTATGTGTCCTTGTCTGTGTAAGAGAGTGTAGATTAATGCAATCTCATATTTTTTATCAACGTATAAAATTTACAACTACATTTCTGAGGATTTGATGGTAGCACCTACAATTTTCTCTCTCAAAGCTATGAGTAAAACTGAAAGAATTTGGATAAATCTTCTTTGAGTACAAATGTTTTCCCTGTGAATGGTTCATTTATGAATTTATTATTAGAGAACCTCATTACATCTCTCATTGTGTAATCCAATGTCTCAAAAGAAAATATATGCATCGTAGATGATAAATCTCATATGATTATACTTGTTGGATTAGGTCTGCTTTCGGACTCCATTGTTTATTGTCACAAAATGAGCACTCGGTTAGCACCAAAGGGATAAAAAATCTCGACTCTCCTCCCCCTAGGCAAAAGCAATGCTACAATGTAGTTGGATGCGACATTCAGGACAACCTTACCATTTGACCTTAGAGAAGCAGACAATGACTTCTAGAGAAATATTTTTCCAGTTCCACCGTAACCATGGACAAAAAAGAACTCCCTCTTTCAGCTATCACGACTTCCATTATTTCATTAGATATGTTCGACTGATCTTCATTCATCGTAGATAAATATCCTCTAAGATTAAATGACAACTTTTCTTAGTCATAGTTCAACTTCTCTATCAAAAAACTATTTTGATATCTATTAAGTTGATTGTCATCTCCGAATAGCATGCACTTGAATTCCTTTTAAGGTTGTCCATTTCAATTAAGCAACTTTTCAATCTCGATTAGACATAAATTCTTTAGGTCTTCTCATGAGATTATAAGCTCTGCAAAAAAAGAATTATTTGTTTCTATGCAGTGCTCAATTAAAGAGTTTTTTTTTCATATAATGCGTTTCAGATGGATTAATACATTAAAAAACTATCTTTATATTCAAGTACCTTGATTCCAAAATATTCTTATTCGATCAAATAAAATTCCATTCACCAAGAGTTCCTATAATTTTTTTCAAAACAATTTATGGGTGACTCATGGTACGTGGACAAACAACATTTTAGCATATTCCTAAATCCTAACTTAGCAATCTCTTTTATACCTTCAATAAGTTCTTTATCATCGGTTAATAACCTCAATGCTTCACATGCTACCTCAAATACGCTATGTAGAACATTGTTAAGTCTCATCAAGCTCTAATAGCTTGTACATCCTCGCTGGACAGTTAATAGTACAACTCTCTGGTTTTCGTAAGCACGTATTGTAATCTGCCTATTGATGACCTTTGTTACATCGGAACCATTTCCGCACTTTAATTTATGATTGTACACACAAAAATTGGGAAATTCTTTACATACATCAAATTTTATCCCACATTATATTGTGTATTGGAAATCATCCAAGCTTCAAACATTGAAGCTTTGTCAACATTTTCTTTGACAATATCTTTTAGCTTTTTTTATCTCTAAAGTTTACAAATTTTAGCCATGGGAGATGAAAATTCAACCTCGAGTGCATATACCATATTTATTTATGTAATACTTTCTTACATTGTTTATAATATCTTATACATAGAGTTAGTTAATACACGAAGATAATTGTTTTATTATCATCTTCAAAGAAATTAAAAATGTGTTATAGAAGATAGATCCATATGTTTCTTATGCACTTAAAAGCATGATGAATTGTGTAATTATTCCCGGATCGGAGCACTGTATAGATTTTTTTGGGAAAACATTACTGGAAAAATTAAATATTCAATTCAGAATAATAAAAATATCATTTGTCACATCATAGAGTACATTCTTTCTCGAACATGTTCAATGATGCAAGGTTATAGTCGATGACGACCTCTCTCTTTCTGTATGTGTAATAACCATCATATGTACTGCAAAAGCAATACATATGTACATGTTTGTTTACTACCTACCAAAATAGAACCTAATCCCACTGAACACTGCCTAGGAAGGAGGATTAAAATTTACTCTATAAAAAAATAGATCTACGGTATAAAAAATTCCCAAACTTCTCAATCGCCTCCTACAGACCAAAATCAAAGCAATGAAGTTTCCGGACCAAAATCAAAGCAATGAAGTTTCCTTTGATTTTGAAGAATATGAATTCGATATTTCATTATTCTTATTAATATACAACAACAACCCAGTTGAATCTTACTACAGTAGGGTCTAGATATTATTCTTATTAATATAATGTTAATTATTGTTAAATAAATTAATGAATAGACTTTATTTTATTATAGGCATGTTTTTTTTTTTTCAAGAAATTAATACTAATTACACTTATAATAGTTAATATTATACCATAAATATTTTGATTAGGAACACCAGTTAATAATTTATTTCTTACACATAAATACTCATATACTAAGTCATCATCATATTAAAATTTATTAATGAAAAATAGTAATTTTTTGGAACATATCTATAAATTTTTACAAAGTTAGTAATAGAAAATAATAATTTAAAAATGGAAAATACTAATTTAAAAATGGAACATACTTGTTATTTGACTTAGAATTTTTTTTTAATATATATGATATACAATTATTGCTCTATGAAATAAGCATGCCCATAAAAATCCGTTTTCTTTTATATATTTGTTTCTCTTTTTTCAAAGTTGGAATATCTCTCTAATTAGTATTAATTCAAAGTAAAAAAATATTCATATGTAATTTCTTTTAGTCTTACCAATCTATTGGTTTTTAGAATAAATTTATTTATTTTGATTATTGTTTTTGAATATGAGTTCTTTTTTCAATTTCAAAACATATTATTTAATTTAAATATTTTCCAACAATGAATTAAGATATAAAAGTTTTTAAACGCGATTATGCTAAGAAATTTGTGTGTAACAAATACGAAATTTAATTTCCATTGAATAAGTTTTTTTGTTAACTAATTCCTTAAATATAACTTGATGACATGACATTCTGACATGATAAAAAAATTGTCTAATAAACGCACCACATGTCACAATTCTAGAAGCCCAACTCTCAAATTTTTTATATAAAGATAAAGATTATATTTTTAAAATTGAAAAGGAATTTTTATACAATCTTGTAACAAAAATCACCTTGCTTGGATGGCTAGAAACTCAACCAAATGTCTAGGAGGTTTTGGGTTCAAACCCCCACAAAGGCATGTTTTGGAAAAAATCGCAAGATTAAATACGTGGCAGATGACTTGTTAAAAAAATGCCAGGTAGACCCGCCACATGTCGAAATTCTATGCGACGAGTCTCAAATATTATAGTAAAGGATGAGTTTTCATTTTTGAGTAACTGATTATTCATTTTCTAGCATAACTAAATTTTAGAAAAAGAAGTGTTCAATTGTTCGAAAATGATGATTCAGTTGTTCGAAATGAGTGTTCAGTAGCTTGCAATTTAATACTCACCGCAGTTACGGGAAATATCGTACAATTGGTTGTACGGTATATAATGCATCCTTAGTGTGCTTCGAAGCGTAGCTCAACTGGTCAAAAAATAGGATGAGATGTTTAGGCTTTGCATTAAGATTATAATTTCGTTTACCTCTCTTTCAATTGATTTCCTAGGCCGTGGCCTGCGGGTCTTTCTTGTATGGAGGACGTGGCTTGGATGATAAAGAACTAGTGTAAAAATGTCAATACACCCTACGTCTCGCATTAACGTGACTGAATTGAACAAACACAAAACCTAGGGAAAAAATGAAATTGTGCGGTTGAAAATAATAGAGACGCAATTGAAATAATGTAAGTCACAAGGAGTACTTGATTTTGACTCCTTATAATGATGGTGAATGGATGACAATCATATATAGTGTGCATCTCTTGCACTTATCACGAGATGCTAGATTAAAAATTACGAAATACTACAAACTCCGTATAACTTTATTCAACTTCTTCCATGTAATTGTCCGATCCTAAAGGTCATAAAAATAAGATTCGATTTTTTTTCTAATTTGAACTTATGAATTTAAAAAAAAAAATACTCCGTATATTGCAAGTAAAAAGTGGATAATTAAATTTTGATTGGAAGTAAAAGGATTGATAGAAGCCATGTATTGATTTACCTAATGGGAAAAATGAGAACTAACAATGTCAAATGGGGCCGTTACAACGAAAATATTAAATTAATCACTTAATAAAAAGTTTTAATATTTACTTTTTCATTATTTTCATTTCTGTTTTTAGAGCAACTTCACATCTTTAATCTTAGCCTCTTAACTTTATAAACTACGGAGTAGTGCAACTCAATTTGCATGTACTCCCTCCGCCCTAATATTTTTGTCTACTTTTTTTTCCGGGTTGTCTCATTACTTTTGTCCACTTTTTATTTATGTTATCTTAATCGACTAGGTTCGATTAAGTTAACAAAATAACGATAGATCTGTGGTGTCGCCATTTGCAAATAGAGGTGGAGCTGTAATGCTCCATCCGTCCAACAATAATATTTCCTACTATTCATAGAGTCAAATTTTATTCATTTTGTTGGCGTATTTTCGTTGCTCATTGATAAAATAATATATGTCATGTCACATCTTCCTTTTGTTGATTTTTTTATGTAATTTTTAAATATATTTTTTTATTTTTAAATTCCATACAATTTTCATATAAAATAATTTGAAAATAACTTCAGTCAAACATCGTAACACGCAACGGGAATATTATTGTTGGACGATAGGAGTATTAGGTTACGGTTTATCTCCTCTAACACCCTTTGCTCAACCAACTAAGCTACGCCTTATGGCTCATTCTCACAGTCTCGATCATTGAAAAAATATAAATAGAACTTTAAATGCAGATTGGTGGCTGGGAGTGAAGCTTGTATCGCTATTGTTGACATTATAAGTGACCACTCATGTATAGTTGTATGTGTATGATGGAGGAACATCATCATGAATGTAAATCATTATGTGAAGAAACCCCTCTCGCACCTTAGCTCGCGTGCATGCAACATGGCTTTATCTATACTCTCCTTCATCTAAAAATAAATTTAATACTCCATATTGATTTTGTAGAAATCTACTCCGTATAAAATCATGGGGAAAAGAAAATATGATTGAAATTTATTAAGAAATGAAAGAAAAGAGAGACTAGCTAGGAGCCACATAGGAAGTATTTCAATCTTTGATTAGACAAAAATAAGTGTGAAATTTATTTTGATATCCATAAAAAACACTTCATTCAACTTATTCACATTTAAGTGATTATTTTGATTTTTGTGATGCATCAAAAATCAAATGACGTACATTAGTACATAACGTCTATAAGTTATTTTATGACCCCTAGTCTTTTAGGAAACATGTTGTCCGTTATTGAACATATAATCCGTGATAATTAAGTTCACGCATTAGAGAGAGCATTCAATCAGTATTACACATTCATTATGTTTGTTATGCAATTTAATAATATAAAATGTCCATGTGTTTTTTTAAAATATATATCATAGAGTTTGAATTATATTTGTGACGATTCACTTCATCTCAAAAAAATATTGTTTTTTTGTAAAAGATTTTATGGTCCTAGTATTACTCGCATAAGTACTAATAAATTTTGGTTAACAATGATGTACTCCTAGCATTACTTAAGAGAGGTTGACTATGTGGTGAATTTGTCAAAACAATTTTACTAAAAAGGAAATATATGCATTGTTGAAAACTTTTAACGAGTGAGAGGGTTTTTTTGTCCAAACACACACACACATATATATATATATATGAGAAATAGAAAAATTAAGTGCAGACGAAAAATGAAAAATGAGAAAATCCAAAGGAAGGAGTAATTTTTTTAAAAAACTTAGATGTCGTCTATATATGGGCCTGCGGCCCAAAGCATCCGGAAATAGAAAGTGGACAGCCCAATTATACAATTACCACTTCTATGAAGCCCAATAATGTGTTCCCAATTTCCTCATCTGAACTTGGACAGTCGGACAAAGGCCGTTCAGAGAGTGCTGTTTTCCGATGGCTCCAAAATCGAAATCGAAGCCGGCGGCGGCGGCGGCAACGCCTGCCGTCTCCGTGGAGGATCTGTTCACTTCACTGGATCGGCATATCAAAGGATCTGAATACCGGCAAATCGTCAAAGTTGCCGATCAAAGTGAGTTTGATTTCATTGAAAATACATACGCGTTAAGATCAAGATCTGGTGCATGCATACATTCGTTACAAATGATTTTCGATTTCAACTGTGTTCTTTTATTTTCAATTCCGGTTCGATTAAAGTCCTGGCTGTTGCGCCTGGGGACGAGGATGCGGTGCGGTGTAAAATAGTGGCATTGATCATTGATGATAAGGTAGATGAAGCTCTTGCAAGTATCCACGATATCTCCAAGAAGACATCTATAGATTTCACCTTCTTCAAGGTAATTCATAAATGCTTGCTGATCTTTGGCTGATACATTTAATCAATATATGGTTACTATGTAGATGTGAAACCTTTGCTGATTTTATTGGAGTGTGATTTATTCTTTGCTTGGGAAATTAGTTGTTTTAGTCGGCTAATGTAATCTTAGTATCCTGAATTATGAATTTAACGCAATGAGACCACATTCTCACTTTACTTGCTTAGGAAGAGTAGTAAATGAAGCAAATTTTCATAAATTTGGTTAAACAAAAAAAGTGGTGGAAATTCAGGAGCTCGTATTTTTGAAACAACGGGGTCTATGCTTTTAGAAGTGGATGAAATGAAATTAGCAGTTGTCTTGAAAGACTATAATCCCCCCTCTCAACAACCAAATATTGAAAGCTTTTGTGTCTATCGTGTACCGTGAAAAGTGAAAACTGACCTTGTTGAAGCTTACGTTTTTCTTGTGGTGTAATGTCTTCTCAAGGCATATTGCTTGTATCGACAAAACAAGCTCGATGAAGCTTTGAAGACTTTGAAAGAGAAAGAGGAAAACTCTGCAAAAGTGCTTTTGGAATCTCAGATTTTATACAGGTTGGGAAGAGCAGATGAGTGTATTGATATTTATCATAAACTCCAGCAGTCCAAGATAGACAAACAAGAGACAAATATGGTTGCTTGCTTGGTTTCTGCTGGAAGGGCACCTGAAGTGCAGGGATATTTAAGCTCTGTTAGGGTTAAACCAACTAGCACATATGAGTTGGCATTTAACACTGCCTGCTCATTAATTCAAAACCAGAAATACAACGATGCTGAACAATTGCTACTGTCAGCACGAAGGTAGAGCCTTTTCTTTGTTCCTGTGTTTACATGAACACATGTGAGAGAGTAATAAAGAGTGTCTGATAAGACTTCATTACAAAGAATAAGTGTTAGAGAAAGTAAGGTACTTTTACCTAAAAAAATAATCATCTCACTTTAAAATGGTAAAAGTGCTTTTGGTGGTGGGAAACTTAATGCTTATTTAAGAAAGCACAAGATTTGCAATTTTTTTCAAAAAAAAAAGAAAGAAGAGAAACTACTTATGATAAAGCACATATGCCATAAGCTATTATAAATAGTTTATACAAATGCATTGATCAAAGCAATTTTTGGATTTCAAAATCTAGGACTTTGATGGTGCTAACCTTAAGCTTAGAACATTTTATATGATTTTGTAATCCTTTATATGATATTCTTATAGAAAAATAATGAAACATCTTTTTGTGGACTTTCGAATATGAATTTATTTCAAGTAATCACAGTTAATATAATCTTGTAATGTAGCATTCTGTTCTATCTAATAGCGAGTCAGATTTATTTTCACAATGCCTCTGCTGTGAGTTGGGTTAGAATCACACACGTCAATCACATGATCATCTTCCTAAAGTTTAAATCTTTTACTCTACCATATATTATGGATACATTATAAAAATCTAATTTACTAGAGTGCTAGTCTGTAAGTAAGCATTTTCATGTCGTGCATTTGATGGAAGTGTTAATGTTTTGATACTGGTGGAAAGTAAGTTGAGATAAAACAGTGACATGCTGGCTTGAACTTATGCAGAATTGGTCAGGAAGAACTCATGGAAGATAATCTAGGTGATGACAAGATTGAAATAGAATTGGCACCTATAGCTGTTCAATTGGCATTTGTTCAGCAGGTAAAATGATGATCTATCATATGCGGTGACTTTCCACAATCCCTTTATTCAGCTGCATCTAAGCGAGATTGAATCCCCTCACAGATTCTTGGAAAAGAAGAAGCGAGAGAATCCTATACTGATTTTATCAGAAGAAGATTGGCAGATGAGTCCTCACTTGCAGATGCAGTACGCGAGTCTTCGCTTGCAATAGCAATAAATAACCTTATTGCTTTGAGGGGCCATAAAGATGTTTCAGATAGTCTGAGGAAGCTTGATATACTAGTAGAGAAAAGTGATGGGCCATCGAGGTTCAAGCTTGCACACGGACTTGAATTGAAGCTCTCGACAAAGCAAAGGGAAACAGTGTTTACCAATTGGGTTCTATTGCTACTTCATTCTAATAAAATGGACAAGGTTATACACATTTTATTTCTTCTATCTTCTTAGCGTTAATTACGTCTACATCCTTGTGGATTGGTCAAATTACCAAATGATCCTACAAGTGTTTAACCAAAGTTTATTGATTGAAATTCATATTTTTTATTACTAAAAATGCTACAGGCTAGAGAACTAGTAGCTGCACTGCCCGGAATATTTCCCGACAGCGCGGTGCCCGTGCTTCTTCAAGCCGCTTTACATGTTAGGGAAAACAAAGCGGTCAAAGCCGAAGAAGTATTAGGGCAGTTCGCAGACAAGTTTCCAGAGAAGTCAAAGATTGTCTTGCTAGCAAGGGCACAGGTTGCTGCATCTGCAGGCCATCCACAGGTTGCCGCCGACTCCCTCAGCAGAATACACGACATCCAACACAAGCCAGCGACGGTCGCCACACTTGTTTCTCTCAAGGAGAAGGCTGGGGACATTAACGGAGCTAATTCAGTCTTTAATGCCGCTATCGAGTGGTGGTCAAACTCCATGAGCGAAGAAGTTGATAATAACCTCAACATCATCATGCAAGAGGCTGCTGCATTCAAACTCCGGCATGGGCGGAAGGAAGAGGCTGCACAGCTGTATGAGGACCTTGTCAATCGCCAAGGAGGTATGGAGGCTTTGGTTGGGTTGGTCCAAACAACTGCCCAATCGGACATTGAAAAGGCGGAAGCTTACGAGAAGAAGCTGAAACCGCTTCCAGATTTACATGCGGTTGATATCGATGCACTGGAGAAAACATCAGGTGCCAAGAACATTGAGGGAGGGCCCACACGTGGGGTCCCCGAAGCGTACGAGGCAAAGAGCAAGGAGAGAGCAAAGAAGAAGAGGAAGAGAAAACCTAGATACCCTAAAGGGTTTGATCCTGCAAATCCGGGCCCACCCCCGGATCCAGAACGGTGGCTCCCGAAGAGAGAGAGGTCCAGTTACAGACCGAAGAGAAAGGACAAAAGGGCAGTGCAAGTAAGAGGGTCACAAGGCGCGGTGGCGAAAGAAACTTCCAGCGGTAGCACTTCAAAACCAAACCAAACTGGACATTCCAAAGCAGCATCGCAAAATGTTGAGCAACCAAAGCCTTCAAGGGGATCTAAGAAGAAATCAAGGAGGTGAACAAAACTTGGAACACGTTTACGCTGAAGGTTAGTGATTTGTTTAGAGCACACTCCATTGCCATTTTTTTTATATTTAAGTTGGACACTTTGAATTGGGACTCTCAATTTTTATTCTAAGCTGGCATGGAGTCTACCTGCAAGAGTTTTCATTTATTTACTTGGTACTATTTTTTTTAAACCTGAAACAACTAAAATATGGTACTCTCATAGTGACCTTTCAAAGGAAATAGCCCTAGACATTCTATTTTGTTAATTATGTTTTTGATCCATGTAAAATTAGTGAGTTTTGCTTTTGGTCCCTCTAATTTTTTTAATTAAAAATTTTACAGGGACCAATTTTATACAAACTCAGTATTTGTGTGTTTTCCTTTTGTTGAACATTTGCTATTAGTTGGTGCTAGTTTTGATACCCATTCAAAATTAGGGACTTCTTTTTTTTTTTTTTTGATGAAAACATGTAATGTGGGTTCTAATATCTTCTTATACTAGAACCCTTTGTTGGTTTTTATGGGTGTTTGGTGAAGCCTAAATAAGGTTCGGATTTGATATGTCATTATATCACAAACCATTCGCTGCTACAACGAAAGTCCCCTCCGAAACACGCTGAAATAATGTTGCTTCCACCGAGCACGAAGGAATGGCATCCAAATAGGCATCGTTCCGGACTTCCCAAATTGCCCTGATGGTCCCCGCCAAGACACTCGATTCCATCAACGAACCAACTTTCGATACCACTTGAAACCATATCCTAAATTGTTGGCGCAGATGCCGATCACCCCCTTTCCACACTAGCCGCTGTTTATTTTTATCAGATATTGAATTCGGATACAGGTCTTGACGGATACTAAAAACTAAAACTGTATCTGCATCCGTCGGATGTAGGATATATCTGTTTTGAATTTTTAAAGTCAAATTGAACAATACTTTAATTTCCAATTAAGTTTAAGTCAAAATATTATTCATTCGGTTGTAATTCGCTACGGAGTAATTTTTTTCTTATTTTTCTTAATTTCTTTTTTATGTGTCTACACATATTTTTATGCGTCTACACTTATATTTTGCATATAAAAAGGTCTTATATTTAGAGATTTCAATAGAAAAACAAAATATAAAAATAAAAAATTAGAAAGATTATATATACCCTCTAAAATATTAGGAAAATTATATATTAGGAAAATTACACCGATAAATGGTTACTTAAACGGATATCTATGCGGAGCGGGTTGTAAACGGATTGGGTGTATGATTACCAAATTCGTATTCGTTTATCAATCGGATATTTTTAATCGAATACGGATGATAATTTCTTTTAATGGATGCGGATATTTTTGTATATAAACGGATACAGATGCAGACAGTAATTGAATTTTCGATTATCCAATTACATCCCTAAGCTGCATAACTGCATTTGTGAGAGGGCAAAATAAAAAGATATGACCAGTTGACACCCCTTGCCACACAACTTATATACGTCACCAGAATCAATGTTATTTTCTTAGATTTCAGAACTCATATCATCTTAATATCGGTTCATTCACCGAACAAGCTCTTAGAAGCTTGTCCACCCTCATCCATGGCTAGACAGTTTGGTTGTCGAGCTTCTCTTTAGGTTAACCAGCTTGATGGCCGTCGTTCCTCTCAATCTCCATCACACCTCAAAAAGAAAAATCAATAAAATGCATGTTTTTCTTTTGTTTTTTGAAAAAACATTACATGTTTCTAAAGTACTCCGTATTTAAAATAAAGCTGTTAAAGAGAAGAGTATATGCTACCCATCTTTTTGTATGTCCTAAAAAAAATTCACTTTTAACTTATGAATTTTTTTTATGTAACTCATATTATTTTGATTTTTTCTGGATAACTTTCAATCATACTCCCTTTGTAAACTACAAAGTTTGACTGAATATATATCTTTAATTTAATTTATCTTATTGTATGAGTAAACTTTAAAAACAAATTTTTTTATTCCCCAAAGAATTTGACATAGTTAAAAGTTTCATGACTATAATTTTAACAAGTACCTGATGAAAATAGACAAATAAAAAATAAATAAATATAATTTGGTCATTTGGAATAATTATCGGGAAAAAAGTTTGAGGGAGTAATTTTTCAAGTACGGAGTAAAACTTTTGGAGAAAAATTGAGTTTCATACTCAATTTGTTTTCTAGACCAAGGTTCTTAGCATAATAATACAAACAACCCAATTGAATCTCATAAAAGTAAGGGTCTTAAGAGAGTGTACGTTCACAAACCCTACCCTACTCGGAAGTAGGACCATTTCCACATAGACCCCTACTTAAACACCATAGATAAACACGTAAACAGCCTAAAATCTATGTTTAAAACAGAGAGCAACTGTTTTCAGATCACCCATAATGAACGTTGAAAATTGCATTCACTAACTGATATTTTACTATTTAAAAAAGCACAGACAATTTAAAGAGTCATTTGGCTTTAAAAATAGTGAATCTTTCGCTCTACCGAAAAGAAAACTTATACAAACACAACACCCTAGAAATAAAGCCAAGAGGAACCCCACAAGATTACCCAGAGCTAAAATCCCAAATAAAAAAACTTGAATTATAATTTATAAGTTCTGAGAATCTTGTGAACTTCTCCTTACTCAAAAGGTATGCAAATGCAAATGCAAATGCAAAAGAAAAACGAGAGGAAAACAAACAATCTCTCCTCATCAAAAGGGCAGGGTAAAGTTTGGGCTCAAGCCCCCTAAAATCAAATTATTCAAATGCTGCAGAATGAATTCTCAAACCGGGTTTTCTTTCGTCACCATCTAACACAACCGCGGGGAAAGATAGTCCCCACATTATGCGCCGCCGGACCCATACTTCTTACCAAAAACAATCAGCTGAAGCTTGTCGTAGCCGGCCAACACACCAGCCCCAGCAACAGCACGAAGGATGTTTGCACCACCCCCCTTGAAAAGGGACTTGAAGCCTTCGTTCTTGACAATCTGAGAGAAGGCGTCAAGAGAGCTCTTGTACTTGACAGCCTCCCCAGATGTCATCATCATTCTTCTACGAACGGTGTCAATTGGGTAGGAAGCAAGACCTGCACCGTTTGTGATGACCCATCCCAGCGCAAAGCTAGCGAAGAAGCTATCCTGTGACAGAGTTCAATGGGTAGGGAAAATGTCAACAAAATAGTTTCGGCTTTGGTGCAGAGGAAAAGAGACTGTCCCAAAGCACAAATGTGAAAATAGTAGATTTGGTAGACATAATGGGCGAATAAGAACACAAAATGATCAGGATAACCACAACCGTAAGAAGTTTTGACTTGGTCATTTGGTTGAAATGGATGTTAAATCTTTGTACTTCCCTAAAGCTTATTGTTTAAAAATTATGAACATATATTAGTCATTTCAGCCAATTACCCTTGTAAAATGGACCACATGATATCTATCTAAACTAGAAAGGGAGAAAAGACATAGTGTCCAAACAAAGAGAAACATGTTTGGCATGTTTACAACAACTAAACTTTGATATGGTAACGTTGTCATAAATCGCTATTATACTACCATAAGTCCATAATTGCCTTAGTGCATTAAACTAATTTAACGATACATACATCTTTGGCAAGTTGCATGAAAAGTTAATCTGGTTTAACCAAACCAGCCTATTTTTGGAATAAGAGAGATGCTTTAAGCACATTTTTTCTAAACTGAGCAGTGAGAGAAAATGTGGGGTCAGAGAAATACATACCTCTAGCTTCCCCGTCAAAACAACAGGCTTAATTGAATCGTACAATCCAAAGTACAACCCACGGTACACAAAGATACCAACACATGAAAGATTAAATCCACGATAGAGTCCAGCAATACCATCGGATGCAAATGTCTTTTTGTAGACATCAATCAAACCATTGAACTGTCTTTCACCTCCCTTCTTAGCAGCTTTGGCATCATTAGCTAGACGGGTACGTGCATAATCCAAAGAGAAAACAAAGAGTAATGAGGAAGCACCAGCACAACCACCGGATGCAATGTTGCCAGCAAACCATTTCCAGTAACCATCACGATCTTTCTTGAAGTTGAAAAGGCCCTTGAAATAATCTTTGAATGCAAAGTTCAATGCCTAAAGAAACATAAAAAAGTCATTTGCTCAAAATTATCTACGACTAAACAACAAAAATGCGTATTTTTTAGGGGAAATGACACTTTGATCACCAAATCTAATCCCTATATAGTATTAAAGTGATGTTTAATTACATTTTGGAAAAAAATAGCAATTTATAATAAATCAATCTAATTTTTAATGATATTAAGATAATTGTATAAAAACAACATTATACTCTGTATAAACAAATTGCATTTCAAGTTAATAAATGAGTCTTTGTAAGATCACATCCACTTGGATAGAGAGAAAAATTGTCAAATAATCAAATTGACAATACTCCGTATGAAATACCTTGACCAATGAAGTTCTTATAATGAAATAAAAATTATATTGACTGTAAATAGCTATATCACATGTAAACCTTTTGTTCGCTTTAAGAAATGTTTTACGATAATCTATGAAATTGATTTCACTCAAAGAAGAATAAAAAGAAAAATACACTGAATTAAGATATGAATTCAGTGTATAGTTTTTCTTTAATCAACAAGTGTTAAGACCAAGTTTTTTGTTGATAATTTTTTTTTAAATATCGATTTTTTTTATTTTATTGATCTCATAGGGACAGAATAAGTGATCTAGCTTCCTTAAAAAAGTGATCTAGCTATGTAAATCTTATTTTTGTTTGGTTTCGGTCTTGAGCAATTACTTTACAATCTTCAAAAATTAGAAATTTAGAAGATTTCCTTTTCAGAAAATAGATCGAAGCTTTCCTCTAACGAAGGACTAAAAATACCAAGGATTTAAAGTGGTGCGGTTTCCACAATCTACTAGTAAATAAGGAACCAGAGTTCTTTCTTTCCTGTATACGAGAGTTTGTTATACCTGAGTGGGGAAGTAACGGATGACATTAGCCGTGTTTCCTCTCCACAATGATATAATTCCTTCATCCTTAATAGTTCGACTGAAACAATCACCAATTCCCTTGTAAGGTTCGGAAAGTCTACCAGCCTTAATCATCTCATCCTGGTTTTGGATCAAAAGCTTGATGCGCTCAATTGGTGCAGCAGCAGTCTTGGATACCGCAGCGGAAACTCCGCCCATGAGGAAATCAATAGCAAAGCCAGCAAATCCTTTTTCAGCAGGAGCCTGGACAAACACAGGAGAAGCATTCGCTGTGATCAATGACAGATCTTGGGTGGCTTTGCATGGCTGAGTGTTCGGATACTGTATCCCATTAGTGATGTGGTTTCTATAGGTGAAACCCATCTGATTGAGAACAGGCTTTCGAATTCCCCCATAGAGAGCTTGAGCATCTTGATGCTTAGCATTCGAGCTCAAATGGAGCTGGTAAGCCACCTTCTGAGCAACTGTGGGGTATTGATACATATCAGCCATTGCACTTTCTTAAAAACAATCTCCTGCAAAGACAACCGAATCAATCGATCAAAGTATCAAACCTAGATGCGGAGACACAGATTACTCTTTTAAAAAACCTTGAAGGAAAAAAAAAAGAAATTCTGATCAAATTGATTGATAAAAACAATTTGCTACAACAATGCGTGAATCAATCACGCAAGCCTAGGAGCGGGATACCATTAGTGAAATTTGCACTAAATAGTACTAAAACATATGTCATTTCCCAATGTAATACTTAAACTTTTTTTATTCCCTAAATAGTACTTGAATAATATCTAGTGGCGGGAACAATGTCCAGTGATGGTAGACATTTAGTTTGAACAATGTCCAGTAACGGTGGATATTTACTTGAACAATGAACAGTGGTACTACGTTTGAAAATAAAAACATATGGTACTACAATGAGAAAGTCACCATATTTTGGTACTATTTAGGTAAATTCCAGGTATTATTTTAGAAACCAGCATAGTTCATGGGAAACACTGAACAAAACTAATGCACATCTCAGAAATGAACAGATATCATGCCTAATTGAATGAAATCTTGAAAATGAACTATCATTACCTCAAATTACAAAAAGAGAATCATCAGAACACTAAAACTAAACCGATACTAACAGATCTAAACTTTAATCTACAGATTCAATAACATATTCCCTCCGCAAATCGATGGCGTATAGACAAAGCTCTGAAAAATCACAGATCCAACAGAAGACAATCAAGCTAAAAGCAAGTTAAAAGAGAGCGTAGAGACCCGATCAAAATGAAGTTTGAGATCGCGTTAAGATGGAAGAAGAGAATACCTGCGGATGTAGCAGAACTGAGAGCTGCCGACGAGAGAAAGAAGAAGCGGAGATGGACGCCACTCACGCCAGAGGATACTCATTTCGGCAACTAAAGTCAGTAAAGTGTACAGAGAAGGAATATTTAGAAAAAACTGATTTGACAGAGGAGAAAAAGGAAATTTTTAAGAGAAAAACATTAGGTCGGATTACAAATTGAAATTTATGAGGTAAAATAACTTGGTTTAAATTGAAGAGGGGACAATAGTTCCAATTATATAGTTTGCTAGTACAAAAATATATGAATTTGAATTTGCTAATGCCAAAAATAAATTAGACTGAGAAATTCAATTTCATCCAATCATTCCATAAAATTTAAACTCCGAATTTAGTTCCAAGTTCATATTCCAAACGGACTCTTATATTTTGAAATCATTTTATTTGTGAATTATTACATCAATAAAAAATAAAAATTATTTATTAAAGAACTGTGTCAGAAATTTTACAAAATAAGTGGTTGCAAGAATATTTTATTTTATCAAATAATTGGCATACAAATAAACAATAATTGTCAAGAGATGAGAAAAAAAATTGTAATAAAATTGGAATGGTGGAGGTAGAAAATATGCTAAAAAAAGATTTCATGTTTTTATTTTCAAACCGGATATACACTGGCATTCATGGGTACTATGAAATTTTCATATACAATGTCACATTACTTACAATGCAAACTCTCATTTTGGAATGAAAAGATTGAACTTCTATTTTGATACATTCTTTATATTTTACTTTTATTGAGGATGATTTATTAATTTTTAACAGAGGCTGGTTTCCATGACATTAGGAACCAATATCATGGGTTGACTCGAAGGTACTTCAGTGCCCCGTTTGTAAAATTGACGATTCATACCCCCCTAACCCATCTCGGTAAACCCCCCTACCTCGCCCCGACCCGAACACGCCCCTCCACCCCTTTCAATTGCACCCTAAATTAATTTTGATTTTGGAAACAGAATATCATCTCAAGCCTAACATTCGCGGGGTAAATTTCACCAATGGTACCTGAACTTTAGCTGAAATTTCGAAGTGGTACCTGAACTTCAAATCCTTTCAAAAAAATCCCTGAACTTACACAATCCTTTCATTAATGAGTCATTAGCCCGTTTCTAGGTTAACTTCCGGTCATTAGGGCCAAATTCGAATTTTATATATTTTAACTTCCAGGCCCCCCCGCCGCCGCCTGCCGGTCAAAGTCGCCGGAAAATGAACTTTTTCCGATTCCAGCGGGACCAATGTCATTCTCTTCGTCTTGATACGAGGATCAATAATATCCAAACCATTTTTTCTAATTTTGTCTGTAACTTCTCGAATCTGAATTTTTCTAATCGAAAAAACCCTAAAATCGAAATTGTGTCCAAAATGGGGGGGTTTTGCAAATCGTCATCAAATCTTGCAATTGAGGGGTCCTTGGAGGTCGCCCGGATGCCACGACCACATTGGAGTTGGTGCCCGCCGTCAATTTCGCCGGAGTTGGCCGGAAAACGCTCCGACCCGCCGGCAACTGCCGGCGGGTCGGAGCGTTTTCCGGCCAANAACTCCGGCGAAATTGACGGCGGGCACCAACTCCAATGTGGTCGTGGCATCCGGGCGACCTCCAAGGACCCCTCAATTGCAAGATTTGATGACGATTTGCAAAACTCCTAATTTTAGACACAATTTCGATTTTAGGGTTTTTTCGAGTAGAAAAATTCAGATTCGAGAAGTTACAGGACAAATTAGACAAAATGGTTTGGATATTATTGATCCTCGTCTCAAGACGAAGAGAATGACATTGGTCCCGCCGGAATCGGAAAAAGTTCATTTTCCGGCGACTTTGACCGGCGGGCGGCGGCGGCGGGGCCTGGAAGAAAAGAAAAGAAGAAATGGGGTCAAATTGAAAATTTTAAAATATATAAAATTCGAATTTGGCCCTAATGACCGGAAGTTAACCTAGAAACGGGCTAATGGCTCATTAGTGAAAGGATTGTGTAAGTTCAGGGATTTTTGTGAAAGGATTTGAAGTTCAGGTACCACTTTGAAATTCCAGTTAAAGTTCAGGTACCATTGGTGAAATTTACCCAACATTTGCGTTCCAAAGTTAGCAATAACACCTGTTTCGCGTATTGCTACGTGTCCATCTCTACCAGTGCCACCTTTTTTCCTTCAAGAGCCTAATACATACTACTCCGCTCTAGATATTTGTTCATGTTGAGTTTATTGCAATCAAACACTCTCAACTTTTGAATCTAAAGTAAATAAAAAATTACGGAGTATGTGATATGTGAATTAGATATTTCAAAATACTTTATAAAATAAATCTAATAAAATTATTTTTTATCAATATTTAATATCATTTTTATTTAATTAATGACTAAAGTTTATCGCTTCTAATTGTAAAAATTAAAACTAGACAAATACACAAGACATGTGTAGTAGGTAGCTATCTATTGATATACCACCCCATGTTATTATTCACTATATAGGAGTTCGCACTGTGATATTGTGGTATTGTACATGAGCATTTCAATATATTTTTTAGTAATGTAAATGCACTTCAACTCCTATTTCAGGAACAAAAATATGGAACTTCTATTTTGGTATATTCTCAATATTTTACTTTATTTTAGTCATTTTCTCATAATCAAATAAATTGAATTGAAAATAAAATTGGTCTAGCCTCGTAACACGTAATGAGAAGATCTTGAGTGAACGAAGGAAATATCATTTTTATTTAATCAATTATTAAAGTTTATCAATTTTGATTGTAAAAATCGATAGACAAATACTTAGGACAGTAGCACTAGGTAACTATCTATTTATATACCACCCCAAGTTGCACACTTGCACTCCCTAACATCTAAAATATGAACAAGGCGATTTTCAGTTCAATAAAACCCTATCCGCCGAGAATCTTTAGTTTCAATTACAATTGGTGCCGCCTGAGGTTGCCCGGAGCTCCGGCTTCTCCCAATTATTTTGGACGGTTTGCAAGTGCTTGTAGCAAGACAGAGCCCATGGACAAGAACCCGAATCCAAAATCCGGGTTTGTCACGACCGACCTTCATGTTACTGGCTAATATTAGTTGATGTTTCTCTGTGTTTATGAGCTAGTCAAAATTACTTGTAAGCAGGCGAAAGCATTTTATAAGCAGTTTTGACTTTTTATCAGTAATAAGTCAATAAATACTAGCACAGAGAAATGTCTCTTTATGTATTTGTAAAATTTAATTTTCAATACATTTGAGACAATTCTTATTTAAAAATCTAACTAAGACGAAAACATCAACTAATTTGAGTATATATATTGAATAAGTTCTCAAAATCGTCCTTGCTAATAACATATTTTCCCAAATTAGTTCCGAATAAATCTAATTACTACATGGTATGTTATAATCGAGATTTAATCTCTAAATAGTCTTCGTAAAAATACAATTTAAGTGACGATTACTTGGATGATATTTTGGTATTTTCATGATCTAAGCTTAAAGTAACTTTTCAAAATGGTCATTTCTATACAATTTCACGTATAATTAAAATAATCATTGACTGTACATAATTTCATGAATTATTAAAAATATGTCGAAATATTTTAAAATTTGATTCAAATACACCTCCTTAAATAGAAAGACCATTTTGGAAAAACAAAAAAATACTTCATTTGGAACAATCGTTTTGAGAACTTACTCTAAATTTGGAAAATACAAAAATACCCTTCACTTAGTTGATATTTAGGTGACATTTTATAGAGAAGATTATCTGATTTAAGGAATAAATCTCAATTACAAAGTACTATTTGAGAGAACATCTTATTTAAAAAGACTATATTTTGGGAATTATAAGTGTGTATCAAATCAAAGACATGCTAGCTAGCTATATGTCGTGTGTAGGGATGCCATGTCTCATTCATATGGAGAAGGGTATGGAACGAGAAGTGAGGAAGAGGGGTTTGGTGGGATGATTTATGGATGCCAAAGAGACGACGAGGAAGACGACGACAAGGACGACACCATGGTGCATGAGAATCATCCCCACTATGACAAGTCACAGGGTAGTGAAGTGAAGGAGAAGGAGAAAGCACGCCACCAGAAATAATAAATATTCCTATTCCCTTTCAGCCCCCCATAAATAAATATACTCTTTCCATCTTAAAACGTTGTTCCCATTTCTGTTCACAAACCGAACCAGAACCTCCGAGAAGGTTTCGGTACCGCCTAACAAAACTCAAATCGGGCACGTGTCCACCGGTTCCGGATCCGGTCCCTTTACCCAGTCAACTGTCTCCGGTCCGGTTTCAGAACCACCAGTGCCGGCGGCAGTTGCAGTTATTACCCGGAACCGTGTGATCCGTGCCCATGCCTAAATAGAATAGTACTCCATACTGATAAACAGAATAAATAAAAATTTGATTGAGTAAATAATAAATGAGAAAAACATTTTCAAACAAAGAGTACTAATAGAAATGGCATACCACAGAAATGAAACAAAGAGAAACACGAATACGATTATAGAGTACTGATAAAATCCCAAGTAGAAAACATAAATTAAACGAGTCAATAATAAGAATCTTGTGACCTTTTCGTCACTCTAAGCAAAACAAAAAACGAAAACAAAAAACCCCTCTTCAAAAGAGCAGAGCAAAGTTTTGGCCTCAGACCCTCTCTAAAATCAAATTATTCAAATGCTGCTGAATGAATTCTCAAACCGTGACCCCCCGGAATTTTCGTCACCATATAGCATCATACTAAAACGAAGAAGACGGTCCCCACCTTACGCACCACTGGACCCGTACTTCTTACCAAAAACGATCACCTGAAGCTTGTCGTAGCCGGCCAACACACCGGCCCCAGCAACGGCGCGAAGGATGTTGGCACCGGCCCCCTTGAAGAGGGATTTGGCGCCTTCGTTTTTGAGGATCTGGGAGAAGGCATCGAGAGAGCTCTTGTACTTGACAGCCTCCCCGGACGTCATCATCATTCTTCTACGGACCGTGTCAATTGGGTAGGAGGCAAGGCCTGCGCCGTTCGTGATGACCCATCCCAGCGCAAAGCTAGCAAAGAAACTATCCTGTAACAGAATTCATACAGGTAATGAAATGTCATCAACATTGGCTTTCGTGAAATTCAGGAAATGAAACCGAAACATGTCTCGGTTTGGTAAAGGGCAGCATTAATAAACAGGGTAGCCATATGAATAGTTCAGGTGTCTCGGTTTGGTAAAGAACAGCATTAATAAACAGGGTAGCCACATGAATAGTTCAGGATGTTACTACATAATTATTTTATACCAAACCAACATATTTTAGCCATTTCATCGAACATAGAACAAGTATGTCTATGTAGTTCTAATACTACCAAAACTTCAGTGTGGGTTAAAATATCTTATGGCGTATGACTTGTTTGACTTAATTGCAACAACCTAATTGGGTCCCACGAGGGTAGGATCCGGGGAGGGTGTGTATGCAGACATTGCCCTACTCCAAAGTAGATAGGTTGTTTCCGAGAGAAACTAATGTTATTGAATGAAATTTATTGCATACAGAGAGCACCAAACATAAAAAGCACACAAATGTAAAAACTACCACCTAATAACACCAACCTCTTTTTTAGAATAAGAATGGTGAGAAACACGTATCTTTGAGGAGAGTGTAAGAAACAAAGAAAATGAGGGCAGAAAACATACCTCTAGCTTTCCAGTCAAGACGACGGGCTTAATAGAGTCGTACAATCCAAAGTACAACCCACGATACACAATGATACCAACACATGAAATGTTAAAACCACGGTAGAGTCCAGCAATGCCATCTGAAGCAAATGTCTTTTTGTAGACATCAATCAAGCCATTGAACTGCCTTTCACCTCCCTTCTTAGCAGCTTTGGAATCATTAGCTAGACGGGTACGTGCATAGTCCAAAGAGTAAACAAAGAGTAATGAGGAAGCACCGGCAGCACCACCTGATGCAAGGTTGCCAGCAAACCATTTCCAGTAACCATCACGGTCCTTCTTGAAGTTGAAAAGCCTCTTGAAATAATCTTTGAATGCAAAGTTCAATGCCTAAGAAAACAGAAACTACCCATTAGCTATAAACATTATCTATGACAACAGGACTCTATGCTTTTGGGGGGAAGTGACTTTTGATCCCCAATAATGGGAAATTTTGGATTTAATCATCAATTATTAGTTTCACCACATTTAATCCCCGATTGGTCATTAAAGTGATGTTCCGTTACATTATTACAAATAGTCAATAATAAAACAATCTACCTTTTGATGGATAATTAAATAAAAATGTAACTAAATATTAAAAAAAAATGAGCCTGTGTAAAGAATAGATACGCCTGGGTAGAGAAAATTTGTCAGATAATCAAATTGCCAAATTGCTTGACTGATGTGAACTTTTTCCAAGGTAATAAGAATAATACCGATTGTGTACAGCTTTATCATATTTTAATCTATAGTTTGGTTTATGAATTGTTTTAAGAGACCCTATGAAATTGATTGTACTCATAGAACAAGTAAAAAGAACAAAATTGTAGAGTTCAATGATGGATGTATGGAACTATTATAGGAATCAACATATAATAATTTCATTCATCAACAAGAAGTTTAAAGATAAGTTATTTGTCTATACAAATTTTAAATGTATTTAATTTATCTATTTTAAGTAATCCTATAATGGCACAATAAGTGACCCAACTGTGTAAATCTTATTTTTGCTTGGATCCAAGCTTGTGCAATTATTTTGCTCCCTTCAAAATTTAGTAAATCAAAAGATTTCCATTACAAAACATAAGATGAAGCTTTCAAACGTCGGGTTAAAAATACCAAGAACCAAAGGTGGTGCATTTCCCACAATTTTCTAATAAATAAGGTACCAAAATTCATTCTTTTTCTTATTCGCAAAAGTTAAAAATTGGGTCATACCTGAGTGGGGAAGTAACGGATGACATTGGCTGTGTTTCCTCTCCACAATGACATGATTCCTTCATCCTTAACAGTTCGACTGAAACAGTCACCAATTCCCTTGTAAGGTTCAGAAAGTCTTCCAGCCTTAATCATCTCATCCTGGTTTTGGATCAAAAGCTTGATGCGCTCAATTGGTGCTGCAGCAGTCTTGGATACCGCAGCTGAAACTCCACCCATGAAGAAATCAATGACAAAGCCAGCAGGTCCTTTTTCAGAAGGAGCCTGAACAAACACGGGCGAAGCATTTGCAGTGATCAGTGACAGATCTTGGGAGGCTTTGCATGGCTGAGTGTTTCCATGGGTGAAACCTCTCTGGTTGAGAACAGGCCTTCGATACCCCCCATAGAGAGCTTGACCATCCTGATGCTTAGTACTCGAGCTCAGATGGAGCTGGTAAGCGACCTTCTGAGCAACTGTGGGGAATTGATACATGTCAGCCATTGCACCTTTTCAAAACAATCTCCTGCAAAGATAACCCAATCAGTTAAATCAAACCTTTACGCAAAAACACAAAGTTAACAAAGCAGTACCTGATGGAGAAGAAAAAACTATCAATTCGGAACAATTTGATTGTTTAAAGCAATCGCCTAGCCTAGGATCAGAGTAATATTTTACAAAATCAGCATAATTCGGGAAGATATACTGAACAAACACAACTAATACATTAACACAGAGCACCAAATCCTTGCGGATACATTAATCCGAAGATGAAAACATAACCAAAATGATGCTTATTTGTAAGTAGAATTGTAGAAATGGAACGTAATGATTAGACCATCCCTCCAAATAACTGGGATGAAATACTACAAAAAGAGAATCATCAGAACACAAAAACTAAACCGATTCTAACAGATCCAAACACGGAAAGACGTATCCACATCAGATCTACAGATCCAATCACATATTCCCTACGCAACGCGATCGCGTTGACACAGACACAAAGCGTACCTCGAGAAAAAGCACATCAGATAAAAAAACAACAGAGAAGCTCTAAAAACTCGCAGATCGAGAAGAAAATCGAGTGAAAAGCATATAAAAAGACATCCGAGAGGATAAATCGGAGGCACACAGATGGAGATCCGGATCCGAACACATACGAACACGCATAGCCGATCAAAAATGAAGATGGAAATGGCGATTTGTTGAGAGGGGGGAAATACCTGCGGCCGAGACGACTGGGTTGCAGCAGCGGAGGAGAGAAGAAGGCGGAGCTCTACGAGAAGAAGAAGAGAGGAGGGTATCGATGCTCGGTATTTATATCGTTTAGGTAATTAGGTGGCGGAGTGGCTCCTGCTAAAATGGTGCAGCGCATGTGGCTGGGTTCCCAGTTCCATACCTAGTCTTAAAATGTGTGAAAGGGGTTGTTTGTTTGCCTCTTGATTCCATAGGTTGTTCTTTTAAGTTGAAAAATCCTTCCAAAAAGAAGTCAAAACTCAAAACATTGAGTTTTGTGTTACCAAAAAATGGGGAGAAGTTTAAAAAAAAATTAAAAGATAAAAAATTTTGAAGAAGTTGGAAAAATGGAAAAATGAAAGAACTTGAATACGATATTTATGTTTTTCATTTCTTTAATAAAACATACAGGGCCAAGAATACTAACATATGATATCAAAAAGTAATATTGAATGTCAATAATCAGTGTCATATTGTAACATTACAAAATTCCTATTCTAAGATTTAAAAATATCACATTTATGTTGGGGATAAGAGTTATGTTTTGTTTTTACTTTGGGTGATTTATTAGGGAAAAATTGTCAAAGCTAAAATAAGGTCAAAGAAGATGGAAGAAGTTCATATAAATTAAGGGCTTATTCTTTTCCTCTAAAATTCTGATCTGGTCTGATATGATATACATGTATTTATATTTAAAGTTATTTCTGACCTCATCTGAACTAAACTGATTCAAATAAAAACAAGTAATAAGTAAAAAAAAATAAGTTGAAGAGAACACTCTAAAAGAGTGGAAGATGGCGGAAAGTGTCGCAGATAATTAGAAAAAAATGAAATAAGTTGAAAAAGATATTACAACCTCCGCCTCATATTATTTGCCTTATTTGTTTTTCTAGTTAAATGTTTGACCAATAATGTCTCATAAAATATACTCCCTCTATCCTAAAATTAAACCACATAATATCTATATTTTGATTCATTTTAATCTTTATATATAATTAGTCACACATTTAGCACGCAAAGAAAAAAAAAGAGATTACCTTGTTTTCTTTATTTGGATGTCCCAAAACAAATGCCAAACTTTATAAAAGTCAAACGAGGATATTTACTTTAGGACGGATGGAATATTTGTTACAATAAATATCAATAGCACAATTTTCATTTCTTAATTTGGAAGTTACTAACTCATGTCCAAAAATGACATAAATAATCCAAAGTTTGTTGGATCAAACAAAATAATTACACACTGTATTTTATAATTCATTTGTTCTGAAAAAGACTTCTTATTTCCTTTTCAAAACGTCTCAAATAAGACTTATCTTTCTAGTTTTGAAAACTTTCTATGACTTATAATCTTTCTCTCTTCTCCATCATTTTCAAATATACCCCGTCCATCCCATGTCTTTTTTCACTTTGCGCAAAACGAAAACAACCCCAAATTTTTTCAATCTATTTTATTAAAATATTGGTATAGAAATTAAAAGACTTACATATTTAAAAACTACATCAAAAATTTAACAAACAAGTGGAGACAAAAATATTTTATTTTACCATATAGGTCATGAAAAAACACAAATAAATAAAAGTTCTTGTGAACTGCAATGCAAAAAAAGTTATGGGACACATGAAGTAACGTTTTATTTTTTCTTAAATTTTGTGCCAAACCAAATGAGAAACCTTATTTTTGTAATGTCTCAGAAATATGACATGAGACTAATGATGTTAATTTTTATTAGAGCTTATTGATCTAACATTATTTAGTGTTTTCTGATTATGCAAAAAAAATGATTTAAATTAGGCAACGAAAATAATTAATAAATATATTATGTTGGAGTGTATGAATTCAACCTCCCGTTTGGCAACAACATTAGTGATTAGTCAATGTTTTCAGAAAAACTACTACCCCGTCCCAAGGTATTTGTCCACTTTCATTTTTACACACCATCCAATACACTTCTTTAATCCATTTTATCTTGTAATTTGTATATTAAAAAATTATAGAAATTATATATTAATAATCTATATGTTAAGACAAATCAAACAAGATCACACATGACTATATTTAGGCTTACACATTGAGAGAATTTGATGAGTCAAAGTGTTTAGATGAACAGTTCCAAAAGTCAAAACTGAACGA